AGAAGCTAATTAAATATGGACTCTTGCATATATATGGAATGGGCTAAGATTTATTTAGGATGGGCTAAGAGTATATGGAAGTCCATGGATAGTCCATGGAGCTTTTAACCCATGGATCCTAGGTAAATGAAGAGTCATGGGTATTAGGGTGTAACCCTAATCCTCCATAGTATATAAAGAGGTCCTTGGTTCTAGAATTGGCACTAGTGTGTGTGAGAAACAAGGGTAGGCCGATTCTAGCAAACATTAGATTCCCTCAAGTATTTCCAAGTTGTTTTGGGTGATTTGTGACACCACTTGAGGCATCCACACTATTGGTGCTAGGCTCTAAAACTCCAAGCAATCAATCACAAAAGAAAGGTATGTTATTCTACTTAAAGTTTTATATTACAAGTACCCCATAACATGCTAGTTAGGTTGTAAACCTTGGAAATCAAATTTGCATGTATTTTAGAGAAAACATAGATCCAAGGTTTCTAGGGTTGCATGTACACCATAGGAGTGTTATAATGCTCAAAACCCAACAGTTACCTTGACCTTTTTATATCTAGATCTATGAATGTGTGAGATTAGGGCCATTTTAGCAATGTTGTTATGTTATTTTGGGTATTAAGTGCGATCTGAAGTTGCAACTTTAGATCTAGGCTTATCCTGGTCTGTAAGATCATAAAGTCTCAGCCTTTAGTGAGTTAACACCTTCTTCATCCCTTAGAACCTCTTCTTTAGCTTGATTTGGGCCATTATCACCTTGCATGTATGTAAAGTTTGCAACTTTACGTAAGAAGTATGCCTTAGGAGCTTAGATATGCATTATGGAGCTTTAGAGTGGCTTAAAATCGTCTGTATGGAGAAAAGACTGAAGAGACTCGATGAGTTGCATGGCCAACTCGGCGAGTCCGAGGAGGATTGTCATGCAAGGATTTCTGCATGGACTCAGCGAGTCAGTAGGACGACTCGGCGAGTCAGCCAGGGTTTTCCCGACGTTTGGACATGCATGGGCTCGGCGAGTTGCATGGAAACTCGACGAGCCAACTGGAGGATTCACGACCTCTCGAGTTTTGTAAGGACTCGACAGGTTAGTGAACTGCACTCGACGAGTAGGGCCAACATGGACTGTTGACCTTGATCGTTGACTTTGACTTTGACCAAGGGTTGAACAGTTTGACTTCTGGGGGTATTTTGGTAAATTGGGAAATTTATAGAATGATTACATGGTTAATATAGGTGGCAGAGCACGTGGTTGTGATTCGGGAGTTTGAGTTTATCTCTTCAATTCGACAATTGTGAGGTGGGTTTTCCTCACTATACTCAATGGTCGAAGGCACCAAGGCCGACCCTTTGGATTGTTATCCTGATATGCTATGCTAGTACGATATGTTAGATCAGAATCCTTGTAGATAGGATGTTATTATGTATTTATGTGGCTATGGTCCATTAGATCGGTTTGCTTGTCTATAGACTGTTATGTGATTATCTGTTATATGTGCACATGTTTGATTGGTGGTTGAGGCTTATCTGCTTTGTGCGAAAGCCAATAGACCTGGGCATTCCAACCTGTTGGTTGTGGGCCGTGAGTATTCCATCCCGCGGATGATTGGACTCATAGTATGTGGGCATTCCAACCTGTTGGTTATGGGTCTGGGGTATTCCATCCCGAGGATGATTGGACCCATAGTATGTTGGTATTCCAACCGGATGGTTGAGGGCCTGGGGTATTCCAACCCGATGGTTGACTGGATCCATAGTATGTTGTTTATGATTATATGTGTATTATTGTGTGTATAGGTATTTTGGGGGAACTCACTAAGCTTTGGGCTTACAGTTTCAGTTTTAGTTTCAGGTACATCAGATGACCGCGGGAAGGCAAAGGCGTGATCGTACAGCTCCTCGCATTTGTGTTTATGTTTCTAGGATACTCTGATATTATACTATTTTGAAAACAAACTTTGTAATGTTAAATGGTTTTAAAATGTTTTAAAAAGTTTAAATTTGACATGATTTTATGGATGTTACACCAGACGGAACTAAACCCTTTCCCACCGTTTCAACTCCACCATATCCATTCCTTTAAAAATTTCAAAGACCTTTTTGACCTCCATGAAAGCAACATGAAGATCAAGTTTAAGAAAAGGGAAGAACTATTTGCATATCAGTAAAGACGAAGCTCTGGTTTGCAGCGGCTCACCATCGTCTTCGTTGAGTTGCAGATCAGAGAGGTGGTGGTTTCCAGTTGCTAGGGTTTGCATCGGAGGATCGAAGTCGATCTGCAGGTGAGAGGAAAGGAGGTGGATTTGTCCTTCTTATTTAAGCTTGTAAACCCTCGTTTCAGAGCTGGAACAACAACATTGCCAGAGAAGAAGAGAGACGGATGGCTGAAACCATAAACCACAATGGATCTGAAAAATTGTTCGAGCTGCCATAAGTGGTGTTGAGAGGAGATAAAGACCTCCATCGGATTTGTTTTGTCTTCAAGATTTGAATCTGGGGAGGGTGATTTGGTGGAAGCCATGGTTTTGAACATTAGTTGGGAACCCCTGTTCTTCACCTCGTGCATCCTCAGGCGTCTGATTCCACTTCAATTTATGGTTTTGATTTGGGGATTCAAGTTCGTCGGAAGCATGTGAAGCAACTTAATGTTTGTTCTTGAAGCTCATTTCCAAAAACTTGTTTCCAGATCTGTTTTAAGGATTTGTTCTTGGACTCAGATCTGAACATGATATGTGCTTGAACCCAAATCTAAATATGATGTTCTTGAAACTCATTTGGACCTGTAAAAATTAAAGGGAGAAGAGAGAACTCGACCCTGGTCTATGTGTTCTTGAATTTTCATTTTCAGATATCATAAACACATAAACACACACATACATAGAGAGAGACCCCTCTCATTTTTTAATTATTAAAATGAATAAATAAGTATTAAACATTAAAAAATTGAAAGAAAAATAAAAAATAAATACCCCAAGGGTATTAAAGACATTTTAGTTTCCTGAGGGACCAAATCCGCAACGAAACTAGTTCAAAATGACCAGAAAGCCAAAAAAGTCAAGGTTTAGACTAAACCTTAGAAAAAATGCATACCACCCTAACCATTTTTGCAGTTTTGTCTTAATAAAATTTGCTGATTAAAAAAAAAAAAAAAAAAGAAACCGTAATGTGTTTTTAGCGGTTGCATCTTAAACACGTCTGGCTATGTGTGTATGTATTCCATTGACAATGACAAAGTCATGGTCGACCCATACTGAAAAGCCCTTTTGACTGGGGTGTCAAGCAAACCAACCCCAAAGGTTTTAATGTGGTTTGATTTTTTATTTCTTGAAACGGATATCGGTCTTCATTGCATATGAATTTTCAGCTACGGAAGAACAAATATATATTAAGGTTAATTAGGAAAATACCAAAATGGACGGGCTCTTTCCACATACAAAAAGGGTAATTTTGTAGGATTAATTATTAAAATATTCAATAGTATGAGAGATGATAATTTATTGGGGTAAATTACAAATACCAAAACGGATGAGCTCTTATACTCATAAAATACCGTTATTAATCAGAAAATAATTATCTGTTTTTGAGAAATGCTATATTATTATTTTTGTGTTTAATGCTAAGCAAATCAAACAACTAGCTAATATGTTAATAGACCACGGAAGCATAGTAAACGTAGGAGAAAACAACCCAAATTCTAATGAACGATCTAACTTCCAATATGTGAGAAATTAAGAAACTCCATATAGCCCACGTTGCTTGTAGTAACCTCCTTGTTCATTATTTTTGGTTTTTATTTATTTATGTTTTTAAGTAAAGGCCATCAGAAAATCTTGTCAATCATGTGTTACTTTATGTATCGATTTTTGTTTTTGAGAAGGCAAGATGGGCTCCTACGAAGACTGATATTCAAGTTAGCTCTTTTAATTGAATTTGTTTCAGGGCTAGGTTGAAGTATTGAACTCCGTAGATTGGTTTGATGGTGTTGTTTGATAATTTTCTCTCACTAACATGTATTAATATATTTCAATGTTCGTAAAAATGAATGTATATATATGCATATACGTACATATACATATACAACCTAATGTGAATGCAAATAAGCAATGTAGTCAATGAAGATGCGTTGTGAGGTTTGTCAAAAATTTACCAATGAGTTATGAGTGGCACAGAATTCTGGTCCCAAGTTCGGTGCTGCAGCCCCAAATGTCAATTTCCCTTTCGGTTTCATTTGCAGACATGCAATCAATTCCTTTGTCCCAAAAAACATTGGGTGGACAATGATTTGGTTTGTAAAAAAAACAAATCTTTGAATTGGATCGATTGGTTCAAAAAATTTGAACTTGATTTTGTCAAAAGAACGTGACACAAAACAACGAAATTTTCAACGTCAGGAATTCAAGTACACAGTAAAAATTTATAAATTATAATCAATATACATGGAGATGAATACTAAACAGTAAACACAATATTTTATAATTATTTATAATCAAGATCAAATTTGTAATCAGAGTAGAAATTATTTATAATTATACCCCGCGATTTAAGGCTTACAAGAATCTGACAAATTTGATTTGTTATTCAGATGGATAGGTTTAAACTCGTATACTTGTAGCCATGTGACACGTTATTATAATATTATTGTTTGTAGTTGGTTTATTGATGCACATTTGTTAATCCAGTAAGTAATCAATCATGTAGCTTTGCATGAAGAAAAACTTCAAATCGGAAGTGAAGAAGAGATCGATGAGACGAAACACAAAAATGTAGCGACAGTAATGAATTCACAAACATGATAACTAACTTCGATTCATATATAAAACAGAATAAGAATCGGAACATACAACACATCATCTATACGAGTAGTTACATAATTAGCAATTCAGCAAAGAAATCGAATCTGATTACTTAAAATGCGTTGCGTCTTCAAAGAAATACTCGATGTTTACAAGCTAGGTGTCTATCTATCGATGAAGATCTTGAAGAGATACCACGAGTTCATAATCGATCCACCATTAATTTGCGTTTTGACTGGCTTCTCGTCGAACAAATGGAATCCGAAGGCTTCGTTGTTGCTTCTGGTTCTTCTTCAACTTAACGCTAGCACCACTGCCGACTGATCTGTCTTTTCTCAAAACACATACATCTCCATCGCATACAAATTTTCCGGAGGGTGATGTTTCTGAAAAGCAGTTGAAGAAATCGAGCAAGGAGGCCATCTGTAAACTATATTTATGTCTGTATACAGATGCTCGATCCTTGTGTTTGTGTTTGTGTTGTGGATGGATGCGCATATGATCGATGTATATTTATATGTATAAAAACACACAGCAAAAGAATATTAAACAATTGTCAAAAACCTGAACAACTGCGTGTGGAGAAGAAGTCCGGTCAATGGAGATGTGCTGCATGTGGAATTTACCAACGAGTGGCGCATGTAATATAATAAAACATTATATGCATATTTGATACTCCTTTTGCCTAATAAAATAAGATAAAACAATAAAAACATGCCAAATAAGATTATCTATATGTATAATCTTTAAAACTTTACAAATTAGTTGATACGCAGGTACCCAATCCGGGTCGGACAAGGCGATCGGGACGGGTGACGATGATACCTACATGGCAAAAAGGATTTCGTGATGGGCAAGAATTGAATTAGGATCAAATATGGATTAGTAGTATTTGAATTGCATTTGAATTTTAGGGGATAATGAGTAGGATAATGACCGTTTGCTATAGGAAGGGTTTTCTTTTCTTTTAAGTATTTATAGTTGGAATAAACAATGCCAAAAAGGTAATCTTGGAAAATATTACTATGTTTCTTCTTTCTTTTCTCTGGAGTCGGCATTCATTCGGAGAGTGTGGGTTACAACCCTTGTTGAACGTATCAACTGGTGCTTTCAATGCCATGGACGAAGCCATATGTCGACTACTATTGAAAGAGCAAGCTCATGCTCCAAACCAAAAGATTGAACAACTATCCACTGATTTATAGTCGGCCAAACAACATAAGTCGATGGGATTCATCGGAGATCAAGAAGCAACAATCCCCAGATCCATGTGATTGGATTTGCCACGCTTCAATGACACTGGGTTCAGAGACTTGGTTTTTTGCAATGGAGGAATACTTTGGCCTCCATGGGACAATAACAGACCAATGACTCTGTATTGTCGGATTCAATATGGATGGAGATGCCGCCAAATGGTTTCGCTGGATGAAACGAAATAACATGATTACAACTTAGGAAAGTTTTCTAGAAAACGTTCGAACCCGTTTCAAATCTTCTAAGTATGAAGACCCGCAAGGAGCCCATTCTAAATTACTCCAACGCGGAAAACTGATACCAGGATGAATTTGAAAAACTCGTAAACCGGGTAACTGAAATTAACGAAAACCTACTTATCTCCTTCTACACTTTAGGGTTAAAACCCTCGTTACAACTAGAACTACTGGTTGCTAAACCCTAAACCATGGGTGAAGCTTTTGCCTTAGCCAAAATCTCAGAATCTCGTTTTGATGATTAGTGGTCTGCAAACCCTCGTGGGAGGCAGTGGGGTTCTTCACCAATTGTCGCGACCAACAACCACCGACTAACCGCATCAACAATTACATGATAAACACCAACAATCACTCATATTATTAATGCTTAACCAGACCCACTTAAACAACCCTTCCTACCAACGCCACACTCGACCAACTCTTTCAAATTCACACCACCAATTAAATGGATTTCCCCAGTGGAATGACAAGAACAACTAAGTAAAGGCTTATGCTTCAGTTACGATCAAAAGTGGGTACGTAGGCACAAGTGTCCAGGTAAATTTTTGCTACTTATGGCATCGGACGAGGACGCACCGAGGATTCATATATAAGTCAGACGTTCAAAACATATGAAAAGGAGGAATCACTCGAAAGCGGAGACAAAACCATTATGAATTCTTTGGTAGGGCATGGAAGCCCTCGATCACTCTAGTTATGGGGCACGATTGGCAAAATGGAAGTACATGTGTTGATTGATTTGTGCAACCAAGTATGGTAGAACAAATACAACTACCTGTTAAATCAACAAAGCCATTCAAGGTCTATATCGATAGTGGCGATTCACTACTATGTGAAAACGTATGCCCACAAGTCACTATAACATCCCAAAAACCACGATAAAATTTTTCATTTTAAAGGACATTTTCATAAAATCCATAGAACAGTAAAGCATTGTTTCCAAGACAACACCATAAAATTCAAAGTATCAAAACCATCTCTCAAAACATAAATCAGCAGGAGGATGTGTACGATCATGGCTTCACCTTGCCCTGGTCATCTGAAGTACCTGAAAACATTGAAATCTACAACTGTAAACCAAAGCTTAGTGAGTTCCCCGAAAATACCCCATACAACAATACACGTACAATGCATACACATCAAGCCTACAACACATGGCTAGACCATCTCCTGAGCCTACAACATAAGGCGGGACCGCTCCCAAGCCTGTAACATATAGCTGGACTGCTCCCGGGTATGTTGACCTACATTACAAAGCAGTATCACCTCAACCCAACAATACTATGTCAACATATGCACAAAACAATAAAAAGAAAGCACAAGCAATCATATCATATCTACCAGTCTAATAGATCACTACAACATAACAACATCCTACATATAAGGACATATACTGCAGTACTAAATATAGTGAGAAAACTCACCTCATAGTCTAGCAGACTACAACACTACTCACAAGTCCAACAACTGGTACTACAGTTCACCCATACAACAATCAGGGACCAAATCTCAAACTACATCCCAAAACCCTCAAATTGACCTAAAGTCAAACTTGGTCAAAATGTCAACGGCCAACAGTCAAAAGTCTTACAGCCAGCCGCCACAGCGTGACTAAGCTTTTGTCACGTCGTGGTGGCTTAGAGATGAAACAGTCGTAGAGACTTCCATTTTCTCACATCGTGAAGGCCAATCCTTCATGCCGCGAGAACTGTTATGCCCTTCTTAATGCATTAAGTTCTTAATCGCTAAGGCCACTCATCCATACTTTCCATAAGGCTTTCCTACTCCTAATGCATCATAAAAATTGGTGCTTTATGGAAATGCATGTCTAATACATGTCTCTTCTATTCTAGGTAAAAAAAACATGGAAGAAATGAACTCAAACTTGTGCATGAGACCAAATACACTATAAAAATCTAGATCTGGAACATATAACTCCAAAGGAACCCCATGGATCCATAAAGTTGCCAACTTAATGGAACCTACCCATTCAAACTCTCACAATCAAGGAGAAAAGGGACATGGAGCCTAGATTTAGAGGCACTAAACATAAAGCTTGGAACTTGATGACTTACAAAAGTTCAGAATATGAGCGAGGATGAGGTGACGAGGTTTGCTTGCTAGATCTATGCACCAAGAGCTCCTTCTTCTTCTTCAAAACACCAAAACACCATCAAAAACTCTCAAATGGAGGCTAAGGTTTATGCTGAGAGTGAAAGGGAGGTGATGGAGGCTGAGGGTGTGTAAACCCTAGTCCTCACTTCCCTTAAATATGGGCACAATTAGGGTTTCGAAATCAAGGATTGTGACCAATATGTTGTCATGTCGTGACACCCAATGAGACGTGTGTTTTCATCCGCCACTGCCACGTTGTGACACTCTCATGCTCACGTCGTAGCCAACAAAAATCCTTTCGTGGGCTTGAAAAGGCCACAAAAATTAATGAAGTATATACTTGGGACTTGGTGTTAATTCACACTCAGCATGCAAGGCATATCAATAGAAATGGTCCTATTTATGTTATTTATGAAGGTAACGGACCTGGTATTGGGCAGACAATGGTTACAGAAACTAGGTAAGGTCACTCATCACGATGAACGCCAAAAAATGGAGTTCTCGATGGATAATAAGAATTACACCCATAAAAAGGACGAGTCGTTACACCTAAAAGATCACCCTCCACAACATGTAGGCCTTGCTAGAACCGATGAGGTGTATAGAGTATATGAAGTGCATGATTTTCATCCAACCTAAGCTGGGGTGATAGAGACTCTTGTTGACACATCCACTCTAATACATTTTGATATTCGCGACGTACTGGATTGGTACCATGATCTTTTCAAGACACCATCAAGTCTTCCTCGGCATCGCTTGATAGATCACAAGAATCACTTTCTTCCAAACACGAAACCGGTAAATGGCCGCCCTTACCGTTACCCTCACTATTAGAAAGGCAAAATGGAGAAGCTTGTTGTTAATATGTTGGCATGACAGATCATTTGATTTTTCAAAGTTCGTTCTCATCCCCGGTTTTGCTAGTTAAAAAGAAAGAAAGAAACCATCATTTTTGTGTATATTATCGGGCCTTAAACGTGGTCACCGTTAAGGATAAATTTCCCATTCCTACTGCTGATGAAATGTTCGACGAACTGGGTGACGTAATCCTATTCACTAAACTAGATTAACGGGCAGGGTATCTGTAACGATTGAATTTAGGTACTTTTCAACTTTGGAAATTATTTTTAAGAAATTATATTTTTGGTCCTTGGAGTATGTTGGGCGTACTCCCATAAATGAGTCGTGGAGTTAATGGTGTACGTTGGGCGTACCCATGCATACGTCGGGCGTACGTATGTAGATCACCAAACCCTAATTTTAGGGTTTGGCCCCTATTTAAGCATCATTATAGACCCAAGACTTTTCCCTTCATCAGCCTCCTTCCCTTTAAAGATCCCCCACGGAACCCTAGCTTGTTCTTGAGTGTTTTTGAGCGGGTTTTGGGTCCCATTAGATCATGAAAAAGAGTAACGTTGCCAACTTTATGTACCAAGACCTTTTTTGAAGTAGATATGTGGATTGGACCTGAAGGACTTAGTGGATTAAGTCATCTAGGGGATGCATGGCTCTCTGGCTAGTATGTCGGTCGTACTCCTGAGTATGTTGCGTGTATTGGGTCCGCAGCCCGCTTCCGGGCCAATGCACGTACGCGGGGCGTACGGATCGGGTACGCGGGGCGTGCACCGTGTTGTGGGCTTCCTTTGATTTTGCGCCACTTTTGGACTCTAGGGTTTTGGGCTTTGAATGTCTTTTAGATTTGGGCCATTTTAGGGTTTTGAGTGCCACTGAGTTTGGGCCACTTAAGAAAAGGGTGAAATTGTCTTTTACCCTAGGAGTCGAGATTATTGAATTAAAGTATCGGTTATGGTTTATGACCCATTTATTAATTAAGGTGTTATTTTGTCATATTTAGTGCGAAGATTTCCCGTATCATTAGTCCGAGCATTTATC